TAGTTATACTTGTCTTTGGCTTATCTGGGGCCGGATAGTGTTGGCAGCAGTCTCAGTAGAGACTCCAAGACTTCTATCACCGAGAAAACCTCCTCCTGTACCTCAGAGGAAAATATGAGTTTTTCCAGTACTAGCCGAGACACATAGTAACTCCATTGTCTCCTCGGCTCTCTGGGAGGCATCAAGTGGCTAATCAAAACAGATGTCCAAGCCACCTCAACTGACTTAAGTTTATGTTAAGGATAAGCGTCTTTAATGTGAGCCACTCCCAGATGGCAGTGCTCCTCACTCCATCTCTAAGAGAGTGCCACCCCCCTGAGAAAGCTTATTTCAACCTGTTGCATCCAGTATCTCATTCTTTTGGTCATGATCCAGATTACATGACCATAGGTGAGGGAAGGAATGTGTACCATATGGTAAATGAAAAGCTTTGCCTTATGGCTGAGATCTCTTCTTACCACACAGACCAGTGCAGAATTTGCATTATAGCTGCAGCTATACTGATTCTTCTATTTATCTCCCACTCCATTCTCCCATCGCACCTGAACAGGACCTGGGAGACACTTGAACTCCTCCTTTTGAGGTAGGGACCCTCCTCCAAACTAACAGGAAAAGCTACTCTTTATGGTGGAAACCCTTGCCCCCCAACTTTAAGGGGCTCACCCTTATCTCAGCTGCCTTGCACTTATCTGTTAACCTCTCTGGCACATGTAGGTCAGCAGATCCATGCGATCCATAAAAAGCAGGGATGAAATCCAGTGGTCCCCAAATAAGACCCGCTCCAAACCCTGGATATTTTCAGTTGTCTGGGAGTTTGTTCCAGATAAGTGGAGCATATGAACTGAATGCTGCTTCTCCATGTTTGATTCTAGCTCTGGGTGGAAAGCGTAGGCTGGAACTATAAGACCTGATCTGGGAGGTTGATACACTGACAACAAATGTTATGTATTTAGGTGCTGATCCACTCAGTGATTTATAGACTATCTGAAGGATTTTAAAGTTTATTCTCTGATTAACAGAGAGCCAGTGTAAGGAGTTCAGCACCGGGCTGATGTGCTCTACTTTCTTAGTTCTAGTGAGGACACGGGCAGAAGCATTTTGGTTTAGTTGCAGATGTCTGACGGATTTTTTTAGGCAAACCTATGAAGACACTGTTGCAGTAAACAATTCTACTAAAGATAAATGCATGAATGAGTTTCTCTAGATCCTGTTTGAACATTAGTCCTTTAATCCCGGACATGTTTTTCA